ATATATATATATATATATATATATATATATATTAAACATGTTGACATACATCAAGATTTATGGTTAATTATAAGCTTGTAATACAATAAATTTAAGTTAATTTAAAGACGTTATCGCAAAATATGTATTTAAATAAGTTTTTGTGAATATTTGGTTTTCTATATTATGTAAATAAGTTAGATTATTTTTTAATAAAACTTAGCTTTCACCTTTAACTTTTAAGCAGTAGTGATTTTAATTTTTATATTTAATCATTTGTTTTTATAGAGTTTTCCTTTATTAATCTATTAGATTATTAGTGTATTTAGATTTAAGAGATACCTCTTATTTATAATTTTAATATAAAATAAGTTATCATTATCATGTAAATAATCGTTTTTTTATAGTTTAAAAAAATATTACAAAAAAATTTACTTAAATAACAATTTACCAAAATAAATAATTTTTATTACATTAACAATGATACAAATAAAACGTTACTAGTTCTAATTGTTTTTGTTGTAAACGAATAAAAAAAATAAAGAAAAGGAGTACATGAGAGGTTGATGGATTTTTCAACCCCAACAAAAAGAAAAGTTAGCCACTTATGGTGATGAGAGCTAATTCAAAATACATGGAGAAGATGTAGAAGAAAGAAAACAAGATCCTAGAACCCCCATTCCCAACTAATTCTTGGACTCCTTGTTTGCTCCCTATTTTTCACACAAGTCTTTGTGGTTCCCTGTTTTTTTCCTCCCAAATCCTTATATACATGCAGCAAAATAAAATAAAGTATGGAGGAAAGAGAGTAAATCGCTCAGCCCTTTTCTAAACAACTGAGCGATTTGGAAAATTCTTCATGGTGAAACAATTTTAATGGCTAAACCCTTTTGAATCCGCTAAGCTCCCGAGAAACAAAAAATTTGCACCCCTTTGGAGTCAATCCGCTCAACCTTTTAAAATGGCTGAACGGTTTAACCTTTGCTTCAAATTTTGCCCTCTACCTCAAAAGGGCTCAACCCTTTCAAAAGGGCTCAGCCCTTTTCTAAACACTTAATTGAATTGAAATTTTTTGAGACTTTGGATCTTTATTGACTCCTGCAAGATATAAAACAATAGTTTAAGTAAAATTCCATCAACTCTTTATAAACTAACTAATTTACACAACTCTTTATAGGTAAGTGTCAAAATAGTTAAGTGATTTAAGTAATTGATGCTTGTCAGCGACATTGGAGCACAAAAGCTTTTTCTCGCCAAGTGAGACCTAGGCACTAAGTGAGAGACCCCTGAAAGCAACAAAGACATTTTCTCCCTCAACAAGTTATTGTGATTGTTGAGCAAAAATTAGTAGAAACTTGGACATTTGAGACAAAGAGAATGTCCTTTATTAGGGCAGACTTGGGGGTTTAAGGAACATCATTGAATACACTGTTGACAATACCCTTATAGGTTGGGAACACCCTAGGAGAGCTCCATTTCACCGTTTCTATCATTTCTTCACCATTTTGTGTAGTTCCAATGGCTACTTGTAACTAAACTCTCACTCATTAGGATTGGATGTAACTAGCCAAACCTCATATATTAACTTTGCTTCATTAATTTGTGCTTCATTTGTAACGACCGGGCTAGTCACTACACACGGCATCGCACACTAGAAACTCCAGACAGATAGAACAAGTATATAAATATAGGATCTAGAATATATAAATATACAAAGTTCTAGTCTGACTAGGGTTAAAGTGTACCAAAGAAAATTACAACCAAATGCTACTATCCCAAGTAGCTACCAGCAAAATATCCACACAAGCAAAACAGCTCCAAGGTCCGCCGGAGACTCACCACTAGACGCCCACCTATTCCTGTTCTGCTCCCATACACAGTATGATCATCGCAGTCCAAACACCATGGAAAAACAGTGAAAGGGTAAGCTAGTGTAATTAAAAATCAGCATACAAATAGATACATAGCAATGTAATTAAATTTCATCATTATGAGTATCAGCTCATCTGCATAGCTTATATCACACATCAATACCAGCACCACGATGTGGCTACATCAACACTGTAGAACAGCAACAACAGCACCACCTCAAGTGGTTATAATGGCCTTTCAACTAGGCACACATCAGCACCAGCTAGCGGTTATTACAGCACCACGATAGTGGCTAACAGCACCGACATAGCGGCTATAACAGCACCACACTAGTGGCTAAACACAGCATACAGCTCAGAAATAAACAGCACAGCAAAATAGCTCACAGCACAACACAGCAAAATCAGCATACAGCACAGCCAAGTAGTATTCAACACAGCTTACTACTCACAACTCAGCTCATCATTCTAAAGTACAGCCATATTATAAATTAGCATTTAAAATCATCAATAACAGCCCAGCTCAGCATAGCAAGACACATCTATTACAGCTTAACATCATCTTTCAACATTTACATCTAGTCAGCACAACTTATTTATCAATTTCATCTCAGCTCAGCAATCACAGCAAAATTCAACAATGATCAGCCTATAATTCAGCTCGACTCAAATAATAAAGTTTAGCATTAGCATCACATAGCACAACCCAGCGTTACATCATTAACAACATACCGCACAACACAACTTTTCATCACACAGCATTGGCAACATTAATCAGCACAACCTATCGTCTTACAGTACATCTAAGCATCTTATAGCAACATACACCTAACACAGCTCAACATCATCAAACAGCAATTTCAGCTAGTCATCACATCATAATCAACAGCTTCTCCTTAAACTCAACATAAACAACCTCTAACATCCATTAGTGAAGTCACATCCCCGCGCCCGGCACACTCGTGGTTGCGCCCAGCGCAGTGCAACCAGAGAGCACCAGGGGGCCAGCGCGCCCAGCGCAAGCATGCCCGCGCCCGGCGGGACCCAGCCAGAGAGCCCAAGGCTCACTCACGCCTGGCGCAATACCAATTGCGCCCAGCGCCCACAAGGCAGAGACTCCCAAGGAGTCTCACGCCCAACGCGACAAGGGCCGCGCTCAGCGCAGCACATCAACATCAT